CTCGGCCTATTGGACACCGTCGCACTAACTGGCACACTCGTCCTATTGGGCACCGTCGCACTAACTGGCACACTCGGCCTATTGGACACCGTCGCACTAACTGGCACACTCGTCCTATTGGGCACCGTCGCACTAACTGGCACACTCGGCCTATTGGACACCGTCGCACTAACTGGCACACTCGTCCTATTGGGCACCGTCGCACTAACTGGCACACTCGGCCTATTGGACACCGTCGCACTAACTGGCACACTCGTCCTATTGGGCACCGGCACACTACTGGGCACAGTCGGCCTATTGGGCACCGTCGCACTAACTGGCACACTCGTCCTATTGGACACCGTCGCACTTACTGGCACACTCGTCCTATTGGGCACCGTCGCACTAACTGGCACACTCGTCCTATTGGGCACCGTCGCACTTACTGGCACACTCGTCCTATTGGGCACCGTCGCACTAATGGGCACACTCGCACTACTGGGCACAGTCGCACTGCCGGGCACAGTCGCATTGTTCGAGCTCACCGAAACCGCACCACTGTTGACGGGCGCCACGGTTACCATCGTCGTGGTAACGGCCGTGCCGCTGCTACCGCCACGCACCACCACTGCACTGCTGCTGCCGCCGGAGATTGCACTCGTCGAAGCGTTATTGGGCGACATGTAGGAAGGTCTCTGAACGCTGCTAGGTGGCGCTGCGGTACAGCTGGGAGTCCTCGTGGCGGGTTCGCTCGCCGTGGTAGCGGCCGCCGCCGGCGTCGCAGCGCGGCGCGACAGATGCACACCGCTCGAGCTGTTTGACGTCGCAGGGGGCGCCACGGTGACGTGAACCTCAGCGACGGTGGTGGCGCTCAACGCGACCTGATTGCTGCTGCTGATCGTACTGAGCGGCCGCGACGGAGGCGCCTCCTGCTGGCCGCCAGAGAGGTTGCTGACCGAATTATTGTTCGGCAGCACCGCCTGTGGCTGAACAGCTACCGATTCTGCTGCCGGCCTGCAACAATATTATCCACAGCGTCATGTCAAGCGTCAGCTATTTACAAGTAAACATAAAAAATAAAAAACTGCTTTAATGATTTTACACTAAAATGCAAAAATTGTCCGGCTGGCATCAGCTTAGACAGGATACAATCAAAAGTCTGTGGAAATTGTTGACGATGAGGCAATTGTTCTGGCCAGAATTATACCCCGACGTCTAATAATGAAAATAATACTCTTAGTAAATCTCAACCTTAGATGACCAAGTTACTTACTATATAGTAACTATTACTGTTTATTAATAACCGAGATACAGACTTGTTCGAGGCACGTTTTTTTACACAGAGAAGTGCATAGTAAACGTCCTGAGTGCTTATTGCCCCCCCCCCCCCCAATTCCTGACATTGAAAGTACCCTGCTATGAGTAATAACCCTTCCATGAACTTGTCCTTATAGTTATACTGCTCAGATAAGACACACTAGCAGACGTTGTGATATATGCTTCTTGTCGAATCTAATTAAAAGAAATACAACCTAATCTTTATTACCCTGGATAAAATATAGTCTGTCGCTGAAAGAAATCCCATGTAAGAATACTTGATGAGAGCCTGATAAGACCGAAATACCTGATATATGCTACTTGTTCAATTTATTTAGGTGGAATACAACTTAATCTGTATTACCCTTGATAAAACATACATGCTGATGTCAACGGAAACGTTGATCCTGATACGAACTAAACCACATTTAAAAAACAAAAACAAATAACGAATATAAAAGGGAGAATAACATGACGAGGGTAGCGTAACATATAATAGCAACGTGGCCGGAGAACAGCTACGGCGACTAGACATACCTGGTCGGCCGCTCCCACTGCACACTGCGTGTTACATGGTTTAAGTACTGCACCCTTCCGTTTAGCGTCCTTCTCTCTTCCCACCTGTCAAGCATAACAACACTCCATCATCACCGACTCACCGACGGCGATGTTATTTTTACACAAACACTGCACAAACGAGTTTCCATGAGTAAACCCACGTAGACGCCGGTCTGACAAGCAAATCTGGAGCGCTAGACAGAACATAACAAAGATTCTAACTACAGTTTTTCACGAGATAGAGTTTGACGCTACAACAGGTTTATATACATTCAAAATAAAGCATAATATGTTGAGCCATATACAGAATATAAGAAGGGGTCATGCTACAGTTTTACACAGGCTACAGTTTCAAGTATGTAAATCAGGTCGACATAAACTGAAATATTCATGCAGTATATCCTGAACTGAATATATCATCTGACCATATTAACTGATATACGACTCAACATAGTAACGGTGGTGACATGATTTTGAACTACTGTTCTAAATTAGGTCAGAAACCTGTAGTATCTCTCTCACTCACCCTTCTGGCAACTCGTTCGGATCCATCGAGTATGCAAGGTTGCCCATAGAATCCGTCACCGCGTTTCTATCAGAGGAGCCACGATCCCGCGACATGATGCTGACGACAACCTGACCTCTAACCGGGTCAGGGTCATTCAGTTGCTTCTTACATAAGTCTAGTCGTTGGTCTGAGGAAGAAATTCATTTATTATTTATTATTATAAGTATTAATTATTATTATTATTATTATTATTATTATTATTATTACTGTTATAAAATTATGAAAAAGCTGTCAATACGTGTCTAGGAATTAGAGCTAACAAGAGCTAAAGAATTACAACTTACTACCTAAAAGGATTGTTTCTAAGATCAATCGAATAATGCGGAAACTACCGAGCTTATGAACGCATATTTGTCATGCAACTCTAGCAGGGTGCAGGTTTTCATTCTGGTGAAACCTGTTCTTTCTATTTATAATACATACTTTATACGCGCACACTTATTATACACGTATACTTTAAATCTACTATTTTAATACCAAACTATATACAAGAGAACACCTATTAAAATTCAACATCAAGCACGATCGAAACAAGATTATCTCAGCCGACTATGAGGACATTTCAGAAAAAAAACCAGTTCGCAACCTCGAGAGAGCTACGTAACTAAAACAGTCGGTCGCTCTAGTCTAATCATTTCGGGTACAATAGTAAACCGTCTGTGCAGAGACGTCATCGTCACGCCCGGCTGCCCCACCGCCAGACAACTCCATGTATGGTCCCCCGCCGCTCGACCCCACCACTCACTTCGCGCGACATTACGCCAACGGACAGCGGCGGCGGAACTCACATCCGGTGTCCTTGAGTCGCTGCAGCGCGTTGGACGTGATGCGAACGCAGCCGAGGAAACCCGCGCCGGCCCGCTTGTGGATCTTCTTGTGGTTCCACACGCTGATCGTGATCGAGTCGCTCCGGCCCACGTACCTGCAACAGCGGCGGCGCCACCGGCGTTCGTACACTTCCCTCGAGACGAAATCGCGCATTGCGCGTCGTACGAACCGACGTTGCGATTTAATTTGTGTTATTACATCTCGCGTGTACTAAGGATCGAGCATGAAGGAGAGTTAGGAGAGACCCTAGGCCTAGATGAAACTGGGTGGACATTAGAGAGTACCAGTTGTTATATATAGCAAAGATGCACAATGTGAAATCTCATGTGAAGCTGATTTGGGTGCAGTGATTTTAGCTACTGATATTGATTCATGGAGCAGCTAGCAACGTATAAACAAAAGCTTGAAGTTTGTTAACAAACTTAACATTACAGACTTAAGTAACTAACAATAAAAGTACCAACACATTATTAATACTTAATCAATCACGAGTAAAGGTGTTATACCTCATGTATATAATGAGTTCGTATTAAACACGCCACAACTGTGTCACATTTTCAAGGTCGTACCGTCACATATATTAGCACTCATTTCGTTCGGTAGTCCAAAAAAGCACACAAGCATATTTGGGACATTCTACGGTCCACATTCCCAGCACAAGAGAAAATCATGCCCACCAGAGGTATTTTCTATACACGACTCGCACTGTACGTAGCATACAACTACAGAACAAGACAACTAGGTTACCCGAGACAGACGGATATCCCAGCACTTTTGGATGTACATCTCTCGCACACCTCACCACCCCTCTCGCAAATAGTAGGACGCATCTGATGATTGTCACGTGTAGAATGAACATCCAGCTGCTGTCACCCCCTGTGTCCAACCCTATCTCGTCACATGTGCCGCTTACACGAACATGCCGTCATCCCGATAGCGGCATCTCATGTGATGTCACAGCGACACTAAGCATCTTTTGTTTCGTCACCACGCCGCATGCCAACCGCCATTAGTCATCGAGTGCACTGCCAAAATATTCGTTATTCGTTACCGGGACGGATGTCGATGCGCATTGCGGGAGAGATTGCGGACGATTCTGCTACTGGAGTTCGCATATTTATTACTCAGCCGCAATAAACTACAGTCTGAATCACGAGACTTTGTCGACAGCGTCGTTTCGCTATGCCCCGCCTACATCTTCCCTGCAAGCTTCCTATTCTTTCTTGCATCCTCTAATTACGCTTGTGGTCTGCTATGACGGAGCTACTGATGTGACTTCAGTAAGAAATCTCTCACCTACTCTTCGTTGCAGAGCTTTCTACTATTTGGTTCGAAAAACTCCAAAAGATAATGGCAGATTGGCATGATTCATTTTCTACTCAATTATGAATGTCGGCTGAATTATTTATGAATGCCCAGCATGCAGAGTGGAAATGAATCTTCACTTTATTTCGTTATTGTTCTTTTTGGCAGTACAGCTTCTCGGTTTATTCTTCATATATGTGAAGTCACATCGTAGTAGCTACTGTTTCGGATTTCCTCGTAGTGAAAGTGTTTACATTCATCACAAGTTACAAACGTTATTAATGTTAAGTGACCTGAACTATGAAAGTAGTTAAAGAAGCATGAATGATTCGGATGGCACCCAAAGATTAGTCGACGGTGCGTTCTGCTGAACATCGTAACAAAATTCAGCGAATGGTCGCTCGCTGATGACAAAGGCGATGCAAAATAGGCGGGTTGAGGACAACAGGTTTTCATTGTCTGTGAGATACGCGCTGCTTCTAATTACAAGGCCACGGGTGCAGTTGGTTAGTTTCGTTCTTATACCATCTGTCCACGCACGGGTCGAACGTCAGTCTGATCTCTGGCATCAAAGGTGGCACCGCTATCCCTTGCTCTCGCGTCTTTGCTTTTAACTTACTAAAACTAACAGGGCGAGAATCATACTGTGAAATTAATGCAGACTCGTGAGATATAGCGACCTGACAATGCTGAAGTGAAAAGGGAGCACTATCTACTATCTAGGGACGGTTAAATCGTATTAGTTTGAATTCAATTTTGACCATTTCCACGAAGAGAGTTTCACAAACAGTTAGTGCTAAGTGATAACTTTGCTAGTCGAAGGAAGTCAACAATCAGTAGAAGACACTTACAGCCAAGCAATTTGGCGGCAATGTAAGTGAAGCATGCATGTATGCCATAAAAATACGAAAGAATTCTCTCCGAATCGGCTCCCGTCGATTCTTGTCCATCGAAGTCCTTATATACTCCTTCATGAAAAGCGAGACTGCCGCCAGAACAATATTAACTGAATTCACACGATTAAAATAAAACTATAAAATGTATTACAGAGTGAATAACGGTGTGAACGACATGCTGTTCAAACTACAAGTTACAGCGAGAATCGTATTTTTAAAATGTTAGACTGTCGGTCGATGGGAAAGAGTCAGCGGCCAAGTCTTTCCCAAGCCTCACACGCGGGGCGTTTGCAACCAAGTCAACGTACATGTCACAACCATGCACGTTCGTCTGCTAAACGAATTCAGTAGAGAGAGCCACGTTGAGAACACGCTGCTTAGGTCTGTTCGCCCTTGGGAACGAAGGTAACGCTACGACCGATCGAACCAGTGAACGAACCCAGCCTTGCGTAACTGCCCTGGCAGCCTGGAGACAGCGGACTGTTGACGAGGGAGAGCGTAAGACAAGCCGCAGGGTCAACACTCACTCGCACTCGCTTGATCTCTCTCTCTCTCTCTCGCGCGCGCGCGCGCTCTCTCTC